AAACAGTACTATATAACATTTTAGACACATTCTAGACAGTTTATCAGCTAAGAAAAGTTAATTTTGGGGTAAGTTACTCTTTAATTCTTTTTAAATTTATTTATTTATGTATTTATTTTGCTCAGACTGCAATATTTGTAGACATTTTTTAAAGTTGCTGTCTTCTTCTAGCAATCTTCAATATCTTTTGGGCCTTTTTGACCAGCGTTTAGCTACATGTTTTAAGATTTTAACAGTTTCAACCCTTTCAGCCTGGCTCTCTGCATCCACAAACTGTTTTTCTCTGGTTCTGTTTTGTTTTGGACTGAAGGTTCTGTTGGGTCATGACTGCAGGACATGCTGGACTCTGTGAGTTTCCACGTGTGTTGTGTTACTGATGCAGCAGCAGGGAGGCGTCTCCATGGCCACGCAGCGTTGTTTGGGAATCCTCCGGTCTGCTGTTCAGGAGGGGAGGGGTCCACCCAGAAAGCCCGGTCTGTGTTGACCCAGAAACATGGTTCTGGTCCTGCTGCTGCATCAGAAATCAGATCTGGTTGATTAGTTTTCATGATTTTAGTTTTATCAGTTTGCAAACAACAAAAACAGGAAACCAAACCAGACTCCAGTTAAATATCTGCCATTTTTCATCTCTTTACTTTTTTATCTAAAGTTACTGAAACAAAAAAGCTAAAAATTCTTGTTTTCAGAAAAAAAATCATTAAACTTAAATTCTGTTTATATTTATTTGAGGTTTGCTTGCAGCAGCTTGAAAAAACAAATGAATGAAACCTTTTACACCAAGTTGAAACAGCATGTGAAAAGATGCTGAGTCATGGGTCAGGCTGCTGCTGTGATGACATCAGSGTTTCTGTCCAGTAAGTGAAAATATTGCAACTTCAGCTGAAAAAGGAAAAAAAATTGTTTAAATTAAGGTTGAAAATGTGACTTTTTAAATATGAGATAAGCTCATAAAATTATAAAATTACAATTCTTCATGTTGGTAAATCACATTTTCAACAGTTCAGTATAATTTTTTTTCTGAAATTGTCTGAATATTATATTACAAGAAACGACAAATATC